TGCCCTTCCAGCATGACTGTGAACCACTAATAACTACTCTCTGGGAACAGTTTTCCAACCAATCTGAACTTCATACTGATTTAATCCTAATATTAACATTGCCTTGTCCTCCTATGAATTTCAAGAAATGCTGAAAGACTAAACATTGTATCATCATTCATTTGGTCAATTACACATGAGTAATTGCTAAAACTGCTCAAAATCAAAAAGTATAAATAATTCTTAGAATTCTAATTCTAATTATTTACAGATGGAGCTGGTGAATTTAGTCATTTCTACAGTACTAACTCCCATTCCATAAATATTAGCATCATGCTTATGCTAGTTTGAAAGGGAGTTTTAAATATTATCAAGTTCACTAGAAACATTAAATAAACTAGTTAACATTGGGGGTAGACGAAAACAAAAATGCATACTCACTGTTAAGCCAGTTTCTTCCCCCTTGAACTTAAGTGGCAATAATAAACTGTGCTTATTCATCACAATAGCTGCTGTATACTGCTAAACAGCCAAAGTGCACACAACTACTCACTTATCTTACACTTCAAATAATACAAATCAAGGAATCAACATATAAGTGGATTTCTCTTATTCAAAGAACAACTATTTAAATTTGAGTATTGTCCAATTCTGAGCAAAACACAACTCATACCCAGATCTAGGATGACCGTTACAAACGGAATAACAAGGAACATTACTCTTCCTAAAGAATACATACTCATGTCAACGATCTGGAAATCTTATATTAAAGTCTATCCAAAGTCACTGATCAGTGCCTTTTCTTGGCAGGCAGCAGGAGCAGATTTACCATGAAACAAACCATGCAGTGGCACAGGGCCCCCAGTAACGGGGGGGGGCCCAAAATGCAGGACAAATATCTGACAACCAGCCCAAGTCCCAGCCGGTGGCGCAGCAGGGCTCAGGCAGGCAGGCTGCCTGCGTGCTGTGGCCGGTGGCCCCATGCCACTCCCAGAAGCGGCCGGCTGCTGGCACATCTCTGCATGCCCCTGCTCGGGAGGAGGGAGGCAGCTCCGCGCTGCCCCCTCCCCCCAAGAGGCGTGCAGAGAAGTGCTAGCAGCAGGGCTAAGGTGGCTCTCTGTCCGCTCTGCCTCCCTCCCTCCCTCCGCGCCACTTTGCTCCCAGAAGCTGCCGGCATGTCCCTGTGACCCCGGGGGGGTGTCTCTCTCCACACGCAGCTCCCATTGTCCAGGAACTGTGGCCAACGGGAGCTGTGGGGGTGGCGCCTGCGGGCAGCACCACACAGAGACCCCCTTGCCTCCCCTGCCTAGGAGCCGCTGCCGGAGGGGTGTGTGTGCTGGTCACTTTGGGGTCCATGCCACCCTAGGTAAGTGCTGCCCCCCTCCCGCACCCTAAACCCCTGCCCCAGCCCTGAGCCCGTACCCAAACTTCCTCCCAGAGCCCGCACCCCTTCCCCCTCTTCCCATACCCCAAACCACTGCCCCAGCCCAGAGCCCACACCCAGCACCCAAACTTCCTCCCAGAGCCTGCCCCCTGCAGCCCCTCCTGCACCCCAAACCCCACTCCAATCAAGGTACCTCACTTTATTTTCATTTACTTCCCATTACTTATAATATAGGAGGAGGAGGAAGAAAAAAAGAATGAAAAACGGGGGGGACAGGAGAGAATGTTCTTTTTCTTGGCTGGGTCCCAAGGGGGAGCTCCCGAAAATGAAGCTGTGCATAGGGCCCCACTAATTTTAAGTCCACTACTGGCAGGCAGCTGTCATCTCAGAACCTAATCATATCCTGCACAGAAAGTATTGCTGTATCTATGGTCTAATTCATGGAATTTTAAAGAAGTGAAGGAAACTATACTTAATATGGCAGTGCACAGCAAAGAGAGGAGGCATATTTCTATGGCCTCTGAATAATACAAGTGTGAAAGTACTGATGTAAGTAGTACACACACAAATGGAACAGCAAACATTCAGAAGTTTTGAATTTTAAGGGGAACAGCATGTTCGGGCAAAGAAGCGCATGAAAAAGGATGCTTTCTCTCTCCGCATCCCACCTTATTTTATTTTTTTTTTTAAATGGGGAAAAGGCATTCCTCCAAGGATACTTCTCCCCCGCAATTTTAAACTCAAACAGCTTTTCAAGTCTATAAGTAAACCTGTCAGTGCTCAAAATTAAAAACCTACGGGTCAGTAACTGTATAATTAATACTGTCCATCACTTAGCATTTTTTCAAAGTGTGTGTTTTCTAGGGGTGATTTTGAGGAACTTGAAGCAAAAATGCATGTGCATTAGTACGTTCAGTTTATACATACAGCTATACGCACAAATCTTCTTGATGATAAAATGCAGTCATCCCTTAAATTCAAGAAATATCCATAAATAAATTCAGAATGCAGTTATTTCAAAATGGAAAATATTACTACCATTGTTCATTATACTGTTTATTCAACTGCTGACGCTAGCACTCTGACACATGTTCCAGTCAAGTGTTACATTGCTAGAGAAGACATGTAGGATGCTCAAAGTCATCATCATCTTCTCTTCTGACTACCCAGGTCAGCTAAATGGAAACAGCAGAGACAGGTTTCAAGATAACACTGCAAGAAAACATTTCTAACTCAAAAACTTTATAAGTACTTTGTATTGTTTTGTAGCTAGCATCTAGCACTACAGAATCTAAAGATTTATAGATATTGCATATTCTGGAGAAAATTCAGAAAGTAGGAGAGGGGAAGGTGTTGCACTGAAATCAGAGGAAAAGCACTGAAACCCAGAGTTTTTATATTAAAATGTATGAAAGTCATACAAGGAGTATACAGACACAGTATTCTGGCTTTCCTTTAGTTATTTCCATTACACGAAAAAAATTTTAGTGAAATTAGTGACCAATTTATTTTTGCATCCCTTCTCTCATACATGTTTATTTGAGAAACAGAATGTCACTTTTTGACGCAAGACAAACATCCAGTTTTAAAAGCTTTACTGGGATGGCTGTGGAAGTAATACATAAATTAATATTCTGAAGCTGATTGCAAATTCTGGTTATAATTCATGAATATTTCTATACCACATCACTTTGCTATCTTATTGACAGGTTTGCAACAACAGCTCTGATTATAAGTCAGTGTAATAGGATTGTCACACTGCACTGCTCCTCCATGCACTCTGCTTAAACTCTTCTCCAGTAAGGGAATTGCTGCATTCTCTCTGCATCTAAGTGATCCGTTAGCATCTTTTCAAGATTTATTTTCTCTGTCTAATCACTCCACTCCTGCAGTCTTCAAAATCAGCTGCATCATGTAATCCTGGTAGTGAAGAATTTTATGCAGAAGGGTTAAATTAAATTGTGGAAGTCTTGAAGCATCTTACTCATCTTAGTGTAGTAAGATTCTTCTGTTTAAAATTATTTCACATCTTGAACCAAACAAGTAATTTAGAACCTACTTTTAATGGAAAAAATATTATGAAGAATTCCTGATATAAAGCTACATACAGCTATAATCCCATCATGGAGTTTGAGAAACACAACTATTCAAGGGTTGCTCTAGTGGTTTAGGTCCTCATTAAGCTACCCAAGATAAAATGGTTGCCTTGGTTGGGTGCATATGGTTTCTAATATGCTTCTAACTACTAAATTCCATGACATAGCCTTCATAATTAAATTAACTGCTAGAAAATCAGAATATCACTTTTCAATATTGCAAGTGAGATTTTGCTTAAAGTGTTATTTTTGTGCAACGCCAATGGGAACCTATTTGGGCACATTTTTATTAATGGCATGTCTTATCAGCTTACAGTCCACAGAGCCACAATGCATGCCTTTTCAACAGGCCTAGAATACATATAAGGCACTGAAAGAAGGAAAACTTATTTGGGGATTTTGAACAAGTGGCACAATGGCAAAGGGGCTTCAACTTCAAAAAGAATCTGAGCCCACAGATACAATTTTAACACCTGAACCACTAACTTTTTCTTAGCTATTGTAAGTCATCTGCATATTGTGAAGCATGTGCCCAGAAGACAGTGACGATGCCACCATATTCATAGCACAGGCGTCTCAGACTCCACAATGGGCCACAGACTTACCAGCTTCAGTAACAATGACATACGTTTTGCTGACCTCCCGGCGTCATGCAAACGGGACAAATGTTGGAACAGACTTAGCACCACACCCAGGTGGGGACGCCACATTCTGCCACCATGACCACGCACCCAGCTGGGCACCGTGTGTGGCAAGCCCCACTACACTGCTGTGCCTAGAGGTGGCACCATAGTTGGCAGAACCCACCACGCTCATTTCCACACCCAGGGACATCGGGCCTGCCAGACATCACCGGAGTGACCCCGGCTGCCCTGCAGCTTCTGCATCCTCCTATCCCAGTCTCCCTCTGGGCGCCCCAGCGGGCAGCAGCACAGCCGGCGGGGGCCCTGGCACCGCTGTATCGGGGCTTTACCTCTCCTCCCCGCGCCCCAGCTTCCTCTCGGCTCTGCCGCCCGGCAATCCTGCGCCCCTGAGGCGACGCCGGGCTCCCCCAGCTCCTCAGCGCCTGGCAATGGCGGCGGCCCCGCTCCCCCTCCCAGCTCCTCGCTCACTGGCTGCGCTGCTTCATGTGACCGAACAAAACCCTCCTCAGCGCAGCCCTTTGTGTCCGGCCCGGCCAGGGCAGCGGGGAAGCCGCCCGCTTGCCCGCGCGGGGCTCCGGGGGAGCCCGCTGAGCCCGGCCGCAGCGCCGCCTCCCCCGCTTCGCTTCCCCTCCCCACCACCTACCCTGCGAGGGCGGCCGGGGCCGAGTCCCTTTGCCGCACCAGCTCGGCGACGGCGGCGGCCATGTTCCCTGATGCGGCAGGATGGAGGGGACGCCCCCGAGCCGCTAGGGCAGCCGGCTCGCCCCCGCTCGGGTGTCCCCCCCTGCCCGCGACCGCGCGTTCCGCCCTTTCCCCGCGCGCCCCCTCCCGCATAAAACCACCTTCCCCTCCCCCACTGTCAGCGCCGGAAAAAAAAATCCATAACGGGAAACTCACGGGCTCGCCAGGGTGTGCGTCACACCGCGGTTACGTCCCACGCTCAGCGTCATGACGTCACCGCGCAACCACCCCCCCCAGCAACACACATTGCCCCCTCCCCTCCTTCGGTGAAGAAACACGCATGCGTTTAACTTTCCCGCTTCAGACATCGTAGAGCCCCAGTCTCCCCGAGGCAGCAAGCGAAAGGCGCCCCTGTTTGCCTGAGGTGTCAGTGGGACGCACACACGTGCCCCTACTCGAAGTGGGTGGTTGAGCGCAACATGTGCCTATAGGTGCTGGAACTAGGGGTGCTGCACTCAGGGCCCCTAGGCACTGTACACGCACCTCATAAGAGACAGTCCCTCCTCTGGAGGTCCCAGTCCTACTGACTCTGAGGGGGCAGAGACCTGTGTCTATGTAGATCCTCCCTGAAGTCAAAATGCAGAACCAGTTGCAGGACTGGGGCCTAAACAGACAAGGGGTGTGTGTGGGGGGGAGGGGGGGGTTAGTAGCTACACTTTACTGGTAGGGAACCAAGGCACATGGCTCAAGACTTTGTAGGTTGTCCTGCATGTCAGCTGACTCTGGATATCTCACCCGTCATACAGCCAGGTCAGCCAATGGACCACAAGGCAGAGCAACATCTTGCCCTGGGGAATGTGCCCTGAGCTGGGAGCTAGGAGAATGAGTTGTGGTCTCTCCTGTAACGGCTGCTGTTTATATTTCTCTGCACGTCAGAACAGCTGTTGTGGAGTAAGACCTCGTACCTTACCCTAAAAGGCAGCTCCGTGTCATTCCACACCGAAGTGAACTGAGTGGTTGCACCAGGGCCCAGCTAGGAACAGAATCTGAGATTCTAACAGGGCAGCCCCAAGTCTTACCACTGTGTTACGTGGCCTTTCAGCTCTACGGAGTCAGCTCCCCTGTCTGTAACCACGCAGCCTCTCTCTGCTCCCAGAGCCAGGATAGAACCCAGGCATCCTGATCGGGACTCTGGAACTTGGGGTGCGGTAGCACCCCCCGGCTTAGAATGCATGGCTTCCATCACATGCAGGTTTTCGATAGCTGTCAGCATCCCCAGTATAAAAATAGTTGCAGTCCTCTGGCAGAACCCTCCGCCACAGCTCCCTTTAGTGGCTGGTCCACATAGAGGATCAATTACTCCTTTAGCTCAAGTAGTAGATATCTGCTGAAGGTACAGGTTCAAGGCCAGCTGATACTCCATGTGGGGTGACAGAAATTTATTTGTTTCCTTTAAAAAAAAAAAAACCCAGGTGTCCTTAATTCACCCAAGGAAGAAGCATCCTTAGCAACAAAGTTTATAGTTTAAAAACACTGTAATCTGTCATTGATGGCGTGACAAACAGCAAACCTCGCCGGCATGCGTCACACGTTCAGTCGCTTGCATCATGCACTGGCAATGGTTGAAGGTTGAAGAGGAACCTGCAGGGCCGAATTAATCTTTTGTAAGCCCTGCGGTCCCTGCCCTGCTCCGCTCCAAGGCCCCGCCTCGGGGGGAAGAGGCCCACCCACTGCTCGCACAGGTAGGAGCAGTCAGAGAGGAGCACCCACCACCAAAAACAAAAGTCAGTGCCTGTGGTGCTGCTGCTGCAGTATCCCCTGGCTTGCAGTGGATTCCATTAGATACAGGGTTTACAGTTTGCTTCAATGACTTTCAGAACCGCCCCCCGCCCCTCCCCCCCCAAAAAAACATTGTTCCAAAACCCCTGCATGTTCCCCCTGCTCTATTAAAATAAAGCTGCCCCAGCCCTACACACAGCAAGAGAGAGGCATGGGCCAGGTCTGGAGAGTTGCAGGCCATAGGATAGGACTTGAGGCAGAGTTCACCCTAGGCATAGTTTGACTTCTATATTTGGGGGAAGGGGAGGAACTCCAGCCAGACTAAGGGGGCTGTGTGTGTGTGTGGGGGGGGGTGTTTAAATTCCACAATGCCCCAGGCTTGCAGTGGGGGAGGGGGCAACCCCACAGTAGAGTTACCAACTTTGGTTGGACAAATTCCTGGAGGTTTCATCACATGGCATTATCTTTAATTAAAGATTAGTCTTTAATTACTGGAGGGTTGGCAACCCTACCCCACAGCCTGGGCAGCCCTTTCAAAAGTACTTCCTATACAGGGCTAGCGTCCCTTGGGAGCCGCAGTTACCTTCACTCCATCATCCCATGGCATCCTCTCACTTACACAAGTGAAAACTAGTTACATCAGCCATATAGGTTGAGACAGTGAGGTTGGAACGAGAGTTACCCACATGGCTGAGGCCCTCAGCAGTTTGTTTACTGCTTGAGTGATTTTTTTGTGTCCTTCATTTTGGCTCTTTCTAGGGTGATCGAATGTCCCGTTTTGGCCAGGATAGAATAATAGAATATCGGGTTGGAAGGGACCTCAGGAGGTCATCTAGTCCAACCCCCTGCTCAAAGCAGAACCAACCCCCAACTAAATCATCCCAGCCAGGGCTTTGTCAAGCCGGGCCTTAAAAACCTCTAAGGAAGGAGATTCCACCTCCTCCCTTGGTAACCCATTCCAGTGCTTCACCACCCTCCTAGTGAAAAAGTTTTTCCTAATACCCAACCTAAACCTCCCCCACTGCAACTTGAGACCATTACTCCTTGTTCTGTCATCTGCTACCACTGAGAACAATCTAGATCCATCCTCTTTGGAACCCCCTTTTAGGTAGTTGAAAGCAGCTATCAAATCCCCCCTCATTCTTCTCTTCTGCGGACTAAATAATCCCAGTTCCCTCAGCCTCTCCTCATAAGTCATGTGCTCCAGCCCCCTAATCATTTTTGTTGCCCTCTGCTGGACTCTTTCCAATTTTTCCACATCCTTCTTGTAGTGTGGGGCCCAAAACTGGACACAGTACTCCAGATGAGGCCTCACCAATGTCGAATAGAGGGGAATGATCATGTCCCTCAATCTGCTGGCAATGCTCCTACTTATACAGTCCAAAAAACCGTTAGCCTTCTTGGCAACAAGGGCACACTGTTGACTCATATCCAGCTTCTCGTCCACCGTAACCCCTAGGTCCTTTTCTGCAGAACTGCTGCTTAGCCACTCGGTCCCTAGTCTGTAACAGGACTCTGCACTTGTCCTTGTTGAACCTCATCAGATTACTTTTAGCCCAATCATCTAATTTGTCTAGGTCCCTCTGTAGCCTATCCCTACCTTCCAGCGTATCTACCACTCCTCCCAGTTTAGTGTCATCTGCAAACTTGCTGAGGGTGCAATCCACGCCATCCTCCAGATCATTAATGAAGATATTGAACAAAACCAGCCCCAGGTCCGACCCTTGGGGCACTCCACTTGATACCAGCTGCCAACTAGACATGGAGCCATTGATCACTACCTGTTGAGCCCGATGATCTAGCCAGCTTTCTATCCCACCTTATAGTCCATTCATCCAGCCCATGCTTCTTTAACTTACTGGCAAGAATACTGTGGGAGACCATATCAAAAGCTTTGTTAAAGTCAAGGAATAACACGTCCACTGCTTTCCCCTCATCCACAGAGCCAATTATCTCCTCATAGAAGGCAATTAGGTTAGTCAGGCACGACTTCCCCTTGGTGAATCCATGCTGACTGTTCCTGATCACTTTCCTCTCCTCCAAGTGCTTCAGAATTGATTCCTTGAGGACCTGCTCCATGATTTTTTCAGGGACTGAGGTGAGGCTGACTGGCCTGTAGTTCCCCCAATCCTCCTTCTCATGGGCAGCAAGTTATATACCCATGTGGTGCTCGGGCACCAGCAATATTCGGAGCCCAGGGGCCCAGCTCCAGCAATATTTGGGGCCAGGTCTCCCCCCCCGGCCCCCCGTGCCTCCCCCGAGTGTCCCCCGGCCCCAGAGGGAGCAGAGTGTCCCTGCCTCTTCCGTCTTCCCTTGCCTCCCTGCAGCAACTGCTGCCACAGGGTCCTAGTGCCCCCCATCTCGACTGCCAGGGCAGACTGACTGTGAGCCTGCCCTTCCCCCTCAAACCCTTCCCTTTTCCGGCAGGACCCTCCAGCAGCACAGGGGACCCCCCCCCCGCCCGCAGTCACCGCTCCTGCCCCATGCTGGGCAAGGGGCAGCCCCATCCCTCACCCCCAGTGAAGCTACAGTCAGGGGCAACAGCAGGGGAGGAGGCGCACGCAGCACACCCCCCCCGGCACCCACCACGGGGGAGGCGAGGGAGATTCCTGGACCTGAGAGGGGCCCTAGGAGCACATGCAGTGACAGTGGTGGGGGTGAGTGTGCTGCTGGGGGGGCAGGAAAGGGGGGTTCATCCCCCAGAGCTTGCTGCTGCCGGCAGGGAAAGGGCTGGGGGGAGCCCCGGAGCAGCCTTCCTGCACCCCAAACTCATCCCCAGCCCTGCCCCACCCCAAAGCCCACACCCCCAGTCAGAGCTATCACCCCCCACCGCACCCTCAACCCTCTGCCCGAGCCCCTCCAGCACCCCAAACACCTTATCCCCAGCCCCAGTCAGAGCCCTCATCCCCCCCACCCCACCCCAACCCTCTGCCCCAGCCCTGAGCCCCCTCCAACACCACAAACCCCTCATCTCCAGCCCCAGGCAGAGCCCCCACACCTAACCCTCTGCCTCAGCCCTGAGCCTCTCCAACACCCCAAACTCCCCAGCCCCAGACAGAGCCCTCACCCCCCACACCCCTACCCTCTGCTCTAGCTCTGAGCCTCTCCAACACCCCAAACCCCTCATCCCCATCCCAGCCAGAGCCCTCACCCCCACACTCCTACTCTAGCCCTGAGCCCCTCCCACACCCCAAACCCCTCATTCCCAGCCCCAGCCAGAGCCCTCATCCCCCCGCACCCTAACAGTCTGCCCCAACCCTGAGCCCCCTCCTGCATCATGAACCCCTCATCCCCAGCCCACCCCATAGCCCTCACCCCACACCCTACCCCTCTGCCATAGCCCTGAGCCCCCTCCCACACCCCAAACCTCTCATCCCCAGCCCCACCCCTGCACCCCCTCCCTCCCCCAAACTCCCTCCCAGAGCCTGCACCCCAGACCTCCTCCCCCACCCAAACTCCCTCCCAGAGCCTTGGGCAG